TATATATATAGAATAAACCTGACACAGGACTACAATATTTCATTTTTAACAATTTGCTCTGTCAGGCAGTGAAATAACTTCACATTCATTTACTTTACTATGCTCCAGAAACGTTTTGTTAAATAAACATAAATATGGAGATTGGTCACTATTTTAAAAACTTGTATTTCACTGACCCAACACATATGTTAATCTGAAATACGATAAATGCTTTATCTATTGAAGAAATCGATATAAGTGGAAAATTGGTAAATGTTCAATAAAAGATTTAAAGTTAATGCTTGTTGCCTTCAAATCAATTTTAAAGGACATTAAATCACCACTCCTGTAACTGCCCTAAGGTAATCTCATTCTCGGCGACTTCCTGGTTAAATAAAAGATATAAAAAATCTTTTTATTTTCTTTCACCGTGTAATTGTTTTGACTGTTAAATTTGTCATTTAAACATACTTTTTATTTAGCCTGAAGTGGGCTTTGGTTTTATTGATCTTTCAAAATAAAAGAAAAATTGTAAACTTCTCCAATATGTGTCTGAATGTCGGTAAAAACACGATAAACTACCTTGGCGGTGCTGTTGATGTCATCAGGATCCTCTTCGTCACACGAAGTCAGAGTGACGTGAGTGATGTTCTCCACCGGGTTAGTCAGAGTCAGCAGCACCTGACTCTCCTGCAGAAACAGGAAAGGCAAAAAATCAAAATCAAAATGTTTGCTAACCTGATTTTTCACATTATTTTTAAGACTACAATGGATTTTTTTAAGAACGATCAGTCAATCTGGGTTCACTGTTTTGTTGGAAGACTAGAGCTTAAAGGGTTAATAACTGATACAAAAAATAATAATAATAATATAAAGAAGATATGAATAAAAAAAGTAACACAACTAAGATACATATGTCAAATCTTAGCTCAGTATCCACATTTTTGTGTTAGCAGAACAAACTTAGCTAAAGTTAATCAGGTTTACATCAACATCCAATGTTTACTTTGAGTTTCATTAAAATACACACGTAGACAAAGATTGCTTGCCTTTATTTTTTATATATTATAAACATATTTTTCCAGGCGGAGACACTGACCTTCATGTATCGCAGGTTTGGAATGGACATAATTCTCACTTCAGGGATGTAGCTCCTGTGGAAGGAAAGGAGTCGCTCAGTTGATCAAGTATTAAACTGAAGGTCAGCACATTTTTTTTATATGAACTCTTTAACATCAATCCTTTTAAATGAAGACGTGCGTCCAGCTGCTGGATAAACACGTAATTAAAGTTAGATTTAATTCACTCACACAGCCACCAGCTGGATCTTGAACTTGATTGAAGTTGGATTAAACTCCGGTTTGCTCAGGTTGTGCTCACATTTCTGAGGAAGGTCAACAAGCAAAACCACGTTAAACAATGTGTTTGTTTGTTTTGTTTTTTTTGTTTTGTTTTTGATTGACACAGAGCTGTAAAAATAAGGGGTGCTGACCCGGCAGCGAAGGGAGCGCTTCATCAGGAGGTGTTTGTGTCGTGGGTGGAGCTGAGACGCTCCTGCGGGCTGGAAGTCCGGCTGCAGAAGCCTCTGACGCAGCGTGGTCACTGAGAGGACAACCACAGGTCAGCTGGACTGCACGCTCTGAGGCTGGAATTAGTGGTTTTAGACTAAAACGTTACCTTCAGGTAAACTGATGGGTCTGGTGTAGCAGTCCTCGGGCAGCGGCTCCACCTCATCGAGGGCCTGCGCCGGCTCGATGCTGATCTCCTTCTGGTCCTCGCCCTCTTTGAGGCTGGAAAAGATGACAAGAGCTGCTCAGAAGTCTGGCCCGAGATGCACGTAAATAAGCTTCAGGTTGCTGAAGTCATTTTATTTTCTATTAACATAGATGTACACTCCTGATCAAAATCTTAAGACCAGCCAAAAAAGTGCAAGAATTTGCATTTTGCACTATTGGATCTTAAGAAGGAGCTTCACAATGTTAAAAGAAGAAATCAGTGCAAGAGACATGAACTTTTGAGCAGGGAATTTTCTGAAAACTGCATTTACACTCAAACATGATTTTTTCAGCTGATCAAAAGTTTAAGACCATAGTCTTTAAAAACCAAAAGCTGTGCAAAWATCTGGATTCCATGTCATTTTCTGTCAAGTCTTTACACTGTCAAGACCTCCTGATGGCAAAAAAAAAGCTCACTGACTTTGAACGTGGTAGGATTGTTGAGCTGCATAAGCAAGGCCTCTCACAACGTGCCATCGCTGCTGAAGTTGGACGCAGTAAGACAGTCATTTTGCATTTTTTAAATGATCCTGAGGGTTATGGAACAAAAAAGTCAAGTGGTAGACCCAAAAAAATTTCACCAGCTCTGAGCCGCAGGATCCGATTGGCTGTCYGTCAAGACACGGGACGATCCTCTACCCAAATTAAGGCCATTACTGGTGCTGACTGCAGCCCAATAACCATCAGACGGCATCTGTGAGAGAAGGGTTTCAGAAACAAAAAACGTCTTCAAAGGCCACGTCTTCTTCAACGCCACAAAATTGCCCGTTTGGACTTTGCAAGGGTGCACCAAACATGGGACATTGAAAGGTGGAAGAAAGTTGTCTTCTCTGATGAGAAAAAATTTAACCTTGATGGTCCTGATGGCTTCCAACGTTACTGGCATGACAAGGAGATCCCACCTGAGATGTTTTCTACACGGCACAGTGGTGGGTGCGCCATCATGATTTGGGGTGTGTTTTCCTTCAATGGAACAATGGAGCTTCAGGTTGTGCAGGGGCGTCAAACAGCAGCTGGCTATGTGGAGATGTTGCAGCGGGCATCCCTCATGACTGAGGGCCCTCGTCTGTGTGGTAATGATTGGGTTTTTCAACAGGACAATGCTGCAGTTCACAATGCCCGCCTGACAAAGGAGTTCTTCCAAGAGAATAACATCACTCTTTTGGACCATCCTGCATGTTCCCCGGATCTAAACCCAACTGAGAACATTTGGGGATGGATGGCAAGGGAAGTTTACAAAAATGGACATCTGTTCCAGACAGTGGATGCCCTTCGTGAAGCCATCTTCAACACTTGGAGCAACGTTCCCACTAGCCTCCTGGAAACACTGGCATCAAGCATGCCTAAACCATTGTTTGAAGTCATCAACAAGAATGGTGGAGCTACTCATTACTGAGTCCTTTTTTTGACACTTTGATTTCTGTTTTGAGGGTTTTTGGGTTTTTTTTTGTTTTTTTTTGAGCTATGGTCTTGAACTTTTGATCAGCTGAAAAAATCATGTTTGAGTGTAAATGCAGTTTTCAGAAAATTCCCTGCTCAAAAGTTCTTGTCTCTTGCACTGGTTTCTTCTTTTAACATTGTGAAGCTCTGCTTAGAACCTTCTTAAGATCCAATAGTGCAAAATTCAAATTCTTGCACTTTTTTTGACTGGTCTTAAGATTTTGATCAGGAGTGTAACGTTAAATTTAACATGTAATTGAAATAAATAAAAATTATTAACCAATTCTTATTTTTCAGAAAATGTGGCAAATTATTCATGTTAGGTGTTTAGGTGAGATCCATGACTGTTTTCTGAATAATTATATTTCTATTACAAGACGGTGAAATGCTAAAGCTTTGAAAATAAAATCAATGGTTACAAACAGTTGGCTGTGATGGATTACCAAAGCAAATTTCAAGGCTCTGCTAACTGATGTGAAATTAATCAAAACCAGGAGCTGCAGGAAAAATGGAGCATCTATTCATCTGTCATCTGTACGGCTCACAGCCACCGGGAAGAAACACGACCAGCTCAGGCCTTTAAATATCAAATTTTACAAAAGAAAATATTCAACATTTAAAAATATATATAGATTCAAAGCAGCAACGCTTCGCAGTCGACAACAAGAGAGGACTTACGAGAGGCCAGCCAGGCTTGAAATGGAAGCTCCAGACCTCTGCCTCTGCAGTCGGGTTCCAAGGCCGTATTTTTCCTGAGTGGATTTGGACAAAAAGCCACGATTAGGCAGACCGCCAAACAACAACAAGGAGGGCGAGGCACTGTGATTTATGAAATTAATCTAAAGCTATTTGTCTACAAGACAGTTCTTAGTCTTCAAAAAAAAAATCATTTATTGCATCTCCTAAGAACAAAAAACTGACATGATTTGACACAAACAATCAATAAGACAGAAAGAGTTTAGTGTTTCATGTTTTTAAGGAGGAAAAAGCTAAACTGAACAGCAAGAAAAACAAGGAAGGTTTTAGTCTTAATTAGGAGGTTTCCCCATTTTAATAAACCAATTTAAAGGCTTTGTTCACACTGCAGGCAAAAGTAATGTAAACCTGATGTTTTTTTGATCAAATGTTGTTGATCAAATTCTTTTAATGACCGCTTGAATTTAACAAATCAGATTTTTTTTTTAAATCCTGCCCATCTGCAGGTGCAGAACTACAGAACCCCAAGGGGATACGGGGAAATTTTTCTTTTGTGTTCACTGTTACCTCCCCATATCTATTCCGGGGCTTATTTAATTTATTTTATTTATTAATTTTTGTCAATTTTCCACGTCCTGTATGGCTGAGAATCGACACAAATACAGGAAGGGACGTTGATACGATCGATTTTAGCATGATGGAAACAATACTTGACTTATTGTTTCTACTTTCAGTCACTCTTGTTCCAGAAGTGCAATTCTGCACCAGATTAGGCAGAATCAAATGTAATGGCTGATTATCATGTAGTCTGTTCTGATTGTACAACAACTACAGAATCGATCCAAACGTGCTAGCATGTGTAGCATCTGTATTTTCTCTCTGTAAATATCGTGTGATGTTAAGGTTTCTGTGCCTGTGGGCCATGGACTGTTCACACTGAGTCTGATGGAGGTCCGATTTTATATAATGCAAAAAATAAATATACATTTTTTAACTCATAAATGAGAACTGACACCTGCAGTGTGATCAGAGCCTAACGTCCTCTCTTTCTCCTCTACTTCTAACAAGAATAAAAGCTTTCCTTGTGCAGACCTCGAGGAGTTTTTCATGTGATGCGTGAGGACTCTCACCAACACATCAGACAAGAACAGAAAAATTAAAATAAAATAAAGAAAAGAAAACTACTAAGGCATGACTACCCAAATTGCAAAAATACAACTCACCACCACATGAATAGTGTGTTGCTGAGGGTAGGGGTGAGGTGCAAACCAAATGTCACGATGTGCACAAGCAAAGAAAAAAATTTAAAAAGTTGGGGAATAAAGAACAAGAAGAAACCAAAGCAATTTAGCACAACATTAGTTGTAGTCGGTCACATGCAGCAACAACAGAAATACAGCAGTGAGAGACAACCTGCAGAACCTCAGACACAACAAGGACTGATTAATAATTAAATCTTGGAGCTGAATGTAGGTGGTGCAGACAATGAGACGAAGCTAAATATGGAAACTGTTCATATTTGGAGCATGCATATTTCTACAGTATTTTGTCCTCTTAAAGCAACGCTGCGTTCACACTAAACATGCTTTGAGCATCAAGGCCGTCAGGTTTACATACAGTCTGTGGTGGACGCGTGTCAAGGAGCATCAGGAAGTGCTGCTGCGCGTCAAACTGGGCTCAGGACAAAAACAGACCTGAAAACCTCCAGGGGCCTCATGTATAAACGGTGCGTACGTATAAAAACGTTACATGCGCCAGGTTCTACGCCCACATTGGGATGTATCAAAACCAACGTTGCAAGTGTGCGTATATTTACGCAAACTTTTCACCTGCCGTGAGAATGTGCTGCAGCCACGCAGTTTTTTAGTCGAAAGTTTTAACTCACAAAGTCACGAATCTGACCTGAATCCACAGAAATATGACTCTGTTGTGTTTTCTGCAAGTAAGGAGTGTCTGAACACGGTGTTAGATTTTTATTTTAGTTTGAGTTTTTACTGTTTAAACTGAACGATCATGAAACTGAACCCCGGCACTGAAAATCATTTAACCTCAGACAAGAAACTAGATCAATCTAAAAATGATCAAAAGAACCTCAGTCCAGTCTGTAAACAGTTTTATATTTTTGTCACAGAGTTGAAAACCTTTTGGGTCCCGGGCCGGAAAAACCCGACACATTAAGTGTGGCATAAAATAAATAAAATAAAAAAGGCGGGAGCAAAATCGGATGCTAATGGTGGCTCACTGTATGGTAAGAATAATTGTTTTTTCTGTGTGTAGCCTTCTGGCTGATGTTGCGTTGAGCTGTGGCCGTAGCACAGCAGCTGCGCTTTGGGTAGATYCTCGCGCCAGGCGCGCTCACCCTCGCCACCTGGGAAGGTGTTCATATGTGTCAACTCCTTTGGACGTTTACCTGTCTAATGAGCCTCAAACATCTATATTTTTTGCTAAAAATCTGTAGGCTACCACTCGTACCCGCACATGGCGGTGGGGTCTGTTGTCCGTGGAGATGACAGCACCTGCTGTAAGGCAGGAGCAAAGGAGAGAGGAAAAAAGTGGATAACTTGATTTTTTTTTTCATTTATTTTAACGTCTGTTCAACTAAATAAGACAACAACTAACCAGGCTTCAACATCACATTCGGGAGATGTCTGTAAATTTCAGAAAAATCTCAGGCTTTGGTTATCCCGTGCGAATGCGCCACATAAAACAATGACACCCCACTATTTATTTAGACAGTTTTCTCACTCATTCTCCATTTAATGTATAATTTTACTGCATCTCAAAATCATTTCTGATCCCACAGAGAGGACAATCTGAGGAGAATCTCACACACTGGACACATTTACATCTATTTTACATATTTAAATGGAGGCGTGTCAGGGGAGGTATTTCATGTGCGCTCAGTTCCACGTTCATTGGGATGTATAAAGGAAAGGTGCACAGGAACCTGCGTGCGCACACTTTTATACATCTGAATATTTTGGTGCGGCGCACTTTTCTAAATTTGTCCGTACGTCAACTTTTTGTGTGAAAGCTGCGCAATCCTTTATGCATGAGGCCACTGGAGTGGTGAAATTCACCACACTCAGAACTCCTCTGAATTAAACTGAACTCGTATGAATTATCTGGTGAGCGTGACTTATTCTTGCTCTCAGTAAATAAAGCAAAGCCACTTTCTTCATTTCATCCACCATTAAACAGAGACCGGCAGAGGAAAACAACCAGAGGCTCTTCCCGACGCGTGTCTAGAGCAATTCTGACGAGCGTCTGACCTCAAAGTGCACACGCGTCCAACTTGAAGCCTTGGACGTGTTTTTGATGCCCAAATGGCGTTCGGTGTGAACGCAGCATTAGGGATGCTGTTTTTACACTTGGAATTAGAACATTAATTATCGAACAAACTGCAACAAATCCCTGCCGCTGAATACATCACTGAATCTGAGCTTATTTGTTCATTTCCTTCCTGATATTCTTACTCAAACATTTAACATGGAAACATACATAAATGCTGGGATATTAGCAAAGAAATGTGTGTCTGTTATGTAGTGAGATGTAGTATACAGAGTGTTTAATTATTCTGCATTAATCCCACGCATCAAATATATTTATCTAATAATACCGTCAAAGATGACTTCACTTTAGGTTTTAAAAAAGTGTGGCTTAAATAGTTGTAGAAATTATTTGTGCATGTGACCATGCAATGCACGGTGCATGTAGGGGGCGTGGCCTAAACACTCCTGCAGTGAGCAGGTGCAGGTGATTGACATATGCTCAAGTTTACGTTCGTGAAATCTGGTTGTTTTAGTGAAGATTATGCTAAAAATATAAGTTTCGCAATTAAAATCTCGTGATTGGCCTACATTCTACTTTTTAATTTCCCCAGTTTTATTCTGATAAATTCCAATTAAATGAAAAAGTTTCAAACCTTGAAAAAAAACAAGGAATTTTGCAACCCTGAGAGAGAGAAGTGTATCCCCTCCACTTTTTTTTTTACTGTTTACTATTACTGATCTCAGAAATATATATATATTTAAAGATTCAACAGGTTGTTCACATTTAAAAAAAAAGGTTAAAAGAAAGGTGCAACATTTTCCAAAAGGCTGATGAGACTGTTGTACCGAGAAGGCGAGGGGCATGCACTGTCGCCTCCGGGCCATCTTCTTTCTGTCTCTCTCCTGCTTCTCTCGGTGGGCCAGCTGCTGGTAATACTCGATCAGCTTGCTGATCTGTAAAATAAAAACAAAAAGTCATTCACACAAAGGTCAGCGTTGCAGCGTGCTTTTCTTAAAAGAAACATTTTCAAGAACACAATACATTTTTAAAAGAAACTAAAAGAACATCAGATCCAGGAAGAAAACATACATCTCTCCCCACTGACACAGCAAAAAATAACTCAAACTCAAACGATTATTCATTTGTTGTTTCTGATATGATTTAAGTCTTAGCAATTGTGCAGCCACCTCTTTTGCCTTAAGCTGTTTGTGTTTACACATTTTCCAAAGATCAAGTCACAAGCTAACAGTGCATGATCAARAAACATGTGAGCCAACTAAAGAGTATTTAGATGACCACAGGGGGGACAACATACCCGCTGAGCGTGAGGGTTCTCTGGCTCCTGCCAACCACCGCTGGCTGCAATAAACAAAACACACCAACACATCACAACCCCAACAATACTACACTGTAAGACATAATACAGTTACATGAATGATATTGGGACTATTGGTTTAAAGTTGAAACACGATCACATGAATACACCAGCACCTACCAACTGATTTGTCAGCCATGCCTACATCCCTGGAGGTCCAGCGACAGAAGCCACAGGCCAGATAGTAGGCTTTCTTCATGGTCGTCTTGGTGGGATCATCGGGCAACGGAGCGGGGATGTTAGTGGCTCGAGTCGACAGCGTGTGCATGCAGCAGGGGCAGTCGAAACAATTTGCACACCTGCAACAGGGCCCGGAGACAAAGACATGGATAAAACAAGGTCAGTAGTAGTGCAATACAGAACTATACAGATATTTAGTTTTGTGTGTAAATGTTGTGCCTGACTCACCTGTTCTTTTTAAGCTTAGCCTCTGCAGATGGCATGTTCTCCAGGCAGCTCGGACAATAATGAGAGTCCACCTGATGACCAKTGATACAACAGAATGTAACCATTTATTTGAGCATTTATTCAGCTTTAATTAACTACGGTTTAAATTGTATATGGTACACAGAAGAAAAAATAATTAATGGTCATTATGTGTGAAGACCGCTGTTGTTATTTAACTGGTAATAAAACTACTTGGGGGAAAAAAACACAACATTGTATTTGAAGAATCGCTACTTTCTCTGGGTGTGGTACCTGTGGGGCTTAGATACATTCCCTAAATTATACAGTGAGTCAAACGTTAGCTGAGATAGACAAACGTTTTAACATTATTTTGTTTACTGGGTATGTTCCTAATATTATATACGAGTTATCGGTTTACCAGCAAGCTTAACACATAGCATAAGCCACTTAGCTCCTTCGCCCATTTAGCTAAAGCTAACACAAGCGGAAGTAACGTTGAAACATCCAATGAAATAAGAGAACTGGTAGTAACCCCATTGACTGACAAGAAGCCTAGCCAATCAATGAGTGCGCTGATCGGACAGGTCCCACCTTCCTGTCAGAGCGATGAGCGAGTCGGCTAACAACAAAGTAGCACCGCTAAATGGCCAAAATGTTAACGTACCTCGTGAGACACACATTCTAGCGATCGGAGCTCGCTACAGTAGCGACAGAAATACAGCTGAGATAGGGAGGCTCTGATCCGTTTCTCCCCGCGAACCAGGTAGATAACTCTGTCGGGCTGCAGGAGAGACGCCATCTCTCAGGCGAAGCTGAAGCTCTGCCGGGGGGACGTGACGTCACCGTCGGCTGTCGGACCTCACAAACTGCTCACTGTCGACCTCGTGTGGCCAAAGTTACACAATCCCCAGCAT